TGTAGTGTTGTCTGAGTGTGTTCATGATAGGTAGTTGGAATGTGGCTCCTGGTTCCTTGATGTTGTATGGCCATGCTGAAGCGGGGGCGCAAACGTAGCTACAAGCCGTATTCCATCAGTTTGAGGGCTAAGAACGTGGACGGTAAAGGCAAAGGGCGACTGGATGTGTGGCTCAAACAGGTAAGTATAGAAATTTGATCAAACGATAGACGTCGTCTTCTCTGCAAGCTGTATTTGTTCGTATCTCTGTCGCACCCTCAAAATCAGGAAGTGCTGCCGTGCGGGATCTTGTGAAAGTCTCTTGACAACAGCATGACAAAAGAGAAGCCATTTTGAGCGTTCCTCTCATGTGTCCCTCCCAGCTGTCCATCCTACAGGAGCAGCCTCGGAAGGATGGCGGTGACGCCACCCTCTCCTCTTCACCCACGTATTCCTCCTCATCCTCATCCATGTTCACTCCATCCTCCGCCGGACTCCAGGACCCATCTCTGTCCTGCCCGGGAACACCGAGCCCCCAGCACTTCAAGTTGCCACCGGGCGCCCCGACCTCCACCGCCACCCTGAGGCGGCCGACCACCCTGAGCCGACATGCCAGCGCTGCAGGTGAGACACCAGGGGAAATTTCACGGAGGTTCCACAAAACTAAAACGTATCAAAAAAGTGAATCAACATCCATTTTTATACTGAATAAAAATTGCGCGCATACACACACATCTAAAACATTGCGCAAAACATTTTTCAATCGCTACAATGGAAATGATATACATTAAGCTGTAATTTGTTTTTTCTCTTAAACTAAACCACTTGCATATCTTATCCTACCCATCTTAATTTTGGACATGCCCTTTTTTTTTAATCTGGAAATTTAATCCTTTCAGAGTTGGATTAAGGCTCGTAAATTCCCACTGAAGGCCCAGGGACAAAATGCATGGCCTATTACCGCCTAAGCAACTTGCCCCCCCACCCTCCTACCAACATCCATTTTTATACTGAATAAAAATTGCGCGCACACACATCTAAAACATTGTGCAAAACATTTTTCAATAGCTACAATGGAAATGATATACATTAAACTGTAATTTGTTTTTTTCTCTTAAACTAAACCACTTGTATGTCTTATCCTACCCATCTTAATTTTGGACATACCCTTTTTTTTAAAAAAAAATCTGGAAATTTAATCCTTTGAGAGTTGGATTAAGGCTCGTAAATCCCCACTGAAGGCCCAGGGACAAAATGCATGGTCTATTACCGCCTAAGCAACTTGCCCCCCCCCACTACACAGGTTTGACTCTCCAGTCATGGGTATTCACCAAAGGCCAGGCTAAAGGAGCCATGACACCAACGACGCCGTCATCTGAAGGTCCCGAGCCCGCCGCCATCGAGGTGGAGGACATCCCGGCCCTGCTCAGGGACGTGGCGCGCTTTGCCGAAGCTGTGGAGAAGCTGAAGGACGTGGTGGTGCTGGCTGAAGGTAGCTGAATTCCAATACCCGCGACCTATTTTTCACCAGGCTAAAGGAGCCATGACACCAACGACGCCGTCATCTGAAGGTCCCGAGCCCGCCGCCATCGAGGTGGAGGACATCCCGGCCCTGCTCAGGGACGTGGCGCGCTTTGCCGAAGCTGTGGAGAAGCTGAAGGACGTGGTGGTGCTGGCTGAAGGTAGCTGAATTCCAATACCCGCGACCTATTTTTCACCTTAGGCCTGGTACACACATAAAGATAATGGGGCTGTTGTTGACCCGATTTTTGCCCCCGATTTTGTTTTATACCCCAGACGGTAAGAGGTGGTATTTTTCCAACGCAAGCATTTCTTGCCGACATCACCGTCTTACCAGTCCAGAGTGGACCTCACCTGTCGCCGCAAGTCAGTCATGAGAACAAGCGGTGTAGAAAAATGGATGCATTGATGTTTTTCAAAGGAGAATCATATTTAAAATGCCTCTTTCCATGCAGCTCTTTTTTTTTAACTCCAAAATGAAGACTCACATTTCCGAAGGGGGCTCAAAATAGCCAACCCCACCCCCCCGTACCGAAAGCCACCTGCGACACACGTGTATGCTTGGCGTGCGTTGTGTGTCATCGCGAGTTTCATGTTCTCTCGTTCTTCTAAAACAGGAAGCTACGGTAGGTAGCTACGTCTGACAGGGCGGTATCACTCTCCAGGCCGCACTTCCTCCTCCGAAAGGAAGGCCACATCTGCTGACTGTAATGTCGTTGGAATGTTGCTTGACATAAAGCAACGTGAATGAAAATCTACAAGGCAGCATGTTGTGCTGCATTGCCTAAATTAAGGGGGTGGGGGGAGTCCACTTCCTGTTGGACACCACTCTTGAGGTCACTGTGTTCTTGTCATCATGGACACTAACAGGCGCCACTGAGGATGCTTTTGTGACATGTGATGTCATCCAATTGTTGTCGTCTGTATTCGAAGCCAAGAGGAAATCAGTCCGAAAAAAAATCCAATTCAATTTAGACGTTCATATGAATCTAACTTAAGCTCACTTTAACATTCCAGTGGGGCAGAAGAACACAAGGCCTCTGTCACAAATACGTTTTCAGAACATGGAAGATAGCCAAATATTTTCTCGGTTGTGTCATTCACACTTGATCGGTTGGCAGGCGCGCCAGAGACTCCACAAACAAACTGTTGTAAAGTCAATGTTATATATGATTTGGGATTGTTATTGCAACCCACAAATGCCAAACGTATGGCACCTAGCCTATGTGAGAAGCTAACATAGCAAGCGATGAGCAAACTGGCTCAAAGTTGATCGGTAACCACTCTCGCTAACCA